AATTTGGAATGACGGCTCCTACTTTATAGAGAGAAAATGTGGAACTGAACTATGAAATGAAATTGCTAAAGGAACAGGACTGGAAACAGTGCTGAGCAAGCGGAACAGGACTGGTGGGGTGAGCTGATTTGTGTGTGTCTGCTGCAGAGCTTGTATTCAGCACTTGGGATGTGAGACCAGACAGCATAATGAATGGCATACTGGCAGTCAAAAGAAGTTCAAGCAGCTGCGAAGGGAGTATTGAAAGAGAAGCAATTTGTGAATCAGACCATTGGCTTGCCAGAAGATGATTCAGTCTTTTAAAAGGGCACTGCAGAACAGCAGAGTATGGTTTCACCTCTCAATGCAGGGCCTAGAGACAAAGATACTGGCCCCTGGGACCTTTTGATTTGGCTCTGCAGGGCTTCCCAGAAGTCACACCCGTTCTCTCTGTATACTGCTTTGAAAAAGGAGTTGAAACAGATTGTGTTTCCTACAGTTCAGATGGCTCTGGCTGTTATCAAAGTAGTCCCCAAAACCAGTGGGGATGTGCAAGAACAGGGAAAATGCAATCAATAGCTGACTTAATGTCAGAACAAGTAGGAATTGTATCACAGGTACCAGGTCCCTTGAAGAGTACCCCTGCAAAGTGGGTGGTGGGGCTTCTAGTGTGTGTAGGAGTGCTGGTTAAAGGTTTTAACTTTATTGCAGACACCCTTCACTCCATCCAATCAGGCAGCTTTATAAGTAGCATTTGAGGAACTCCATCTGCAGCACTGGGTATAAAGGAGTCTGAAAGTGTTACCAGCTCCCAAATTGCTGGATGGTTGTCTGGAATAATAGAAAGCTGGGAAATGACATGGTTCAGTGTACATACAAGCATCCTGTTGTGATAAACCCATCATATTCTATTGGCCTGCATTTTGTGAAAGAAAGCAGCTTGGAATACACTATGAAATGTTCTGGCCTGCACACTAGGCCACTGTTTATTGTGTCTCTCACATTTGCACTCATCTGTGAGGTGATTAATCCCAACCCTTCTCAATTTAGGCTAATGCATGTTTAGTTGTTGGGTTTGTATTGTTTCTCTGTGGGTTTTTTGTTTTGTTTTTTAAAGCAAGGGCATCAGTGTTTTTTTCTGTACCTTCTAGTACTCATCAGTTCTGAAATAAACCAACCTTCCTGCTCGTAACAGCTCCTGGTATTATTAAGGAAATCATTCAGCAAAGTATCTCCTCGGACTAGTCCCCTGAAAATCTTACACCTTATCAAAAATATGTTAGTTTGGTCCATGGTTAGCCATGGTGACAGACTGCTGCATGAAATCAGTTCTTTTTCCTCTGGATGTATTTATATACATGAATCTCTTATTTTAAAAAACGTTCTGGAGATGATGAACTGTTTAAAATCTGACTGTCAGTGTGAATTGTAACTTGAATAGGAACACGCATTTTATGGTGCGTGTACGTACCAAGATTACATAAACACGTTCCACCTTTTTAAGGATGTTAGATGCATGTAAGGGATTTTATGCAAGTTAGCTATTTTTGTACTCAGTATTTTTTCAGTACCTTTTTGCTGAAGACCATAGCTCACAATGCTTAAAAGCGAAAGAGAACAGGCTGACAGGAACAAAGGAGACTGGATATCTGACCTGTTTACAACAAAACATGTATACAGAGATAGCAAAATGAGAAAGGTAACACAGAAAATATCAGAGAGGAAACAAATGAAAAGAAAGTCTGTTAGAGTCTTTTTTAAACGTAGCCATTTGAAGATTGTGCATGAGCTAATTAGCAAATATTAATACAGTGGGAAATCGAGTGGGATGTCAACCATATGCCACCGTTATCAGAAGAACCCAAAGAATTACCCAACCAAACTTATTTCTCATTTTACACACAGCTGAAATGGGTGAAGTTGATATGTTTGTTTGTATTGGAGCAAATTAATATGTGGCCACAGGTAAGTATTTAGAATGTGAACAAGAAATTTTGGTGTTCATGATCTGATTTCCCCACCAAACAGGACATAGGTAAAGCTGCAGCACCAAAATCGCTATGTAATAATGTCATGCACATCATGCAGTACAAAAATGGAAAAACCTCAATTTAAGAAAAAAATATTCTGCAATGACTATTGCAACTGACAGGGACAGTAAGTAAGTCATTAAAGCAAACAGCCGCTACTGTATATGATGACCTGTTAAGGGTGACTTTCTTTAATTCTTAAACTTATTCTGATCATCATATAAAAATGGAGTTTATAGGTTCTTTAAAATTTGTTTTAAAAATCTCTACAGTTCTTTCACAGAATGAACCCCCGTAGTATAAAGCTTTATCACAGGAATGCAATTTCACATGCAAGAAAACCCAGAAGTTTTGTTTTAATGAGGAGAAAAAAAAGTGTTCCATTAGAAAACATGAGATCTCAAATAATCCATTTGAATTATGTTTTATCAGAGTAGTTTGCTCCTGTTGATTATACTTCCATGCACAGAATTTCAGAAAGACATTCCAGCACTAACGTTTTCAATAGCCACGTTCCAGTGCATGCTCAAGGATGTATTTTAGCTCTTCAAAGAGCCCATTATGTACTCTGGGTTGCTGCCTACTGAATTACTTACAGAGATTTCCTCAACTGCAAGTTGTTGGAACTAATATTTTATAGTTATTCAGCACCTGACTTTAAAGAATCTATGGGATACTAAATTAGGCTGGGTTTATTCCAAACCAGTGTTTTCAGGAGACATGGGTAGCTCAATAATGGGGCCTACCATGTCTAGGAAACTCTGATGATAAATAAAAATGGAAACTCAACAGGTCAGGTATTTTGGAAATACTGCACTGTTTGGGAATTGACTACAATTTCTAATTTTAAAAAAGGTAGCTCAACACTGCCTTGTCAGAATTGGCCTTGTAGCATAGGTGGTATTTCATCCCTTTAAAATAAAAACTAGAATCTCAATAAAATTTAAAAGAAAAAGCAATAGATTTGAAAGAATAGATTCTTTAAAAAAACCCCAGCCTTGCATGCCTCACTCAGTGCTCAGTCACTTCAGATAGAATATGAAAATCTGAGGCTCCAATTAGAAAAGGATTACTCAAAAGTGAAGCATGCGAGTCATCACCTAAACTGAAAATATCAAAGTTAAACAGTAAAACTAATGCATTCTTAATGTCCTTTCAGTGTTATAATTAAACACATTTGAAACTAAGTGATCTGACATAAATTATGCTTACTCCGATAAATTTTATATGTTGTCAAAAGTTACCTTCACTAAATTATGTAACATAGTCTCTGCCAAATTCTGAAGGGGACTACAAGAGCTAACTTCATTGTGTTAAGTTAATAGTCTCCAAATACAAGGGCATGCACAACTACGTAGAACTCAGGCCAAATATATGCAAACTACATTCTTTAGTTATAATTCATATCATAGCCAGTATGATGAGACACTTTATTTAAAAAATAGTAATTAAAAAAAAAAACCCAAAGAAGTGTCTGGTCTAGCCTGGTAGGTGCTCTTTGTCTCGCAGTCACCTATACCTGAAGGAGTAAAAGCAGAAGGACAGGGATTGTGACCTGACAGTGGGACTCAATAAGAATTTAAATGTGGAGCCAGGAATTATGGCAGTCCTTCAGTGAAGTCCTGTGGACCACAGAGCTATCAGAAGGTGGCTTACCCACCACTGCTTTGGTGAACTCTGAAGACTGCTTTCTGATACTTTAACTGAGGGTTCAGTCAGAAGAGCTGTCCTCACCCAAGATGACAGGTGGTGACAGTGTGAAAGGAATTTGAACTCTGTATTTTTGAAGCATTCTGCTTTGATTACAGCTGCTATCATTACGTTTCACATTGACACAAGAACTGGTACTTCCTGCTATTCTCAGCGTTTCTCACCTTCCTGAGCACCTAGAACTGCATTACTTATTGAGTGAGTCTTGGTGGAGCTGAGCTCCATCTAATGACTAGCACCTTTTTCTAAGAACTGCACAGGTATTCAATAGACTCATGCCAAAAGAGACTATCTGTTAAAAAAATATAGTCATTGCGTCAGGCAGCAGTAAAGGGTTTGGAAACTACTGGTCTCCCTTTTGGCAGGTATCTGTATAGAGAGCCTTTAGCACTCATGCCAACTGGCTCTACCAGCTCCCGTATTCAGTATATTTCTACAGCTTCAAGATGTGCCAATATACAGCATACAGAAACTCTGCATTTGCATTCAGACCACAACAGAATTTAGACTTGCTTACCACAAGTTTAGCCCCTCGTTCCACAGAAACAAGCAGACATTGGGAGTCTTAACTCACTGACAGACATGCAGCATTATACCTTACCTTGGCTAAGGGAAAACTTTCAAATTCCATCCACCCGTCTTTCTCCAGAGCTATCTTAGTTAGGAGCACATCAGTTATGACTGAGTGAGGTACACCTCCCCTTACCCGTTTCTGGTGTATGGCAAGCTGCCTCCCATTTAGGTCATCTCTTCCCACACCCAAGAGCTGCCAACACCACTGGACTGCACATGCAGTTGGTCTGTGGAAGGACTGGGAAAAAAAAAAAAAAGAGCTGCTCTTCTGATGAGAAACTGTAATTCTGTATCATTAATTAAACAAAACCAGTGAATACAGAACTCGGAAAGCAAGCTTTACTTCTTTTTTAGGTTTGAGAGTGCTCTGCTGTCCTGGCTGATCCTGTGGTAAGTCTGCCCATGTTCAATAGTAAAATATAAAGTAGTGACGTTCGCTGATTACTACAGCAGTTATTGTCCAGTCCTCATTTTAATGGTCTCTTCTTGATTTCGGTCACAGACGTACCCCTGTTAGAGGGAATCAGAACCCAGCACTCACATCTTTAGGACTTCCTATCAGTACATCAGAACATCAAGGTGGAAATACATACAGATTCTTCACTGTGCCAAGTGTAGATGTGCAGGCTCTCAAAACAAACTTAGTAACGTAAATTCAGATAGAACACCCTCCTATGAAGCCTTATAAAAATACCAGTGCAACATAGAGCCATTTTACAAAACAAGTATCTTTATAGAAAGGTATTTTAGTGGTATATGCTGAGGTAAATAATAAAAACAGACCCAACAGAGGGCATGACCAGTGTTATGGAGAACTCCGGATGAAATTTGGCCAAAAGGCTATTTGTTTTATAAAAGCTAATGTTTACCTACCAGTTATGATCCCTGGTAAGGTGCTTATTGCTATAATACTTCAAAATTATTCTTCAGTTTACAAATTGAAAAATATACGAAATTAGATCTGTATGAATGTTAGGTATTAGCTGTCACAAATTTTAAAAGGCATTGTACCAAGTTTTCTCAATTGTTTACTAACCAATTTGATTGTAGCAGGTAAATAAACTACAGCATACATTTTACCTGACACCATGCATCAAAATCACCATAAAAATTAAGTTTATCAAAGTCCAACTCCACAAGAAAAACATGAAAAAGTGCAAATTATGTACCCAGTATTTCGTCACAGCTGTTTTTTCTTAATATGGCATGAAAAAGGTTTACAGCATATATTAAGAAAATTCTTACAAGTGTTCACCTCAATGCTTATATATATACAACATTTTGCTCAAAGTGCTCACTATATGAAAAAACTGATTGGATAAAAATATTAAACAGTGCTTTCTGAACGTTCAGGGAAAATTCATGTAATACATCAGTCCCATTTGTTTTCCTCTTCACTCAGTGCAATGAGATGCAGAAGTCGCATCAACTTCATGAAAACTTTGCTTGCCACATTGCCAGAAAACCTCAGTTACAGTGGCATTCTTGGCGTCCCATTGGGAGTGGGTCTTTTGTTTTTTTGCATGTGGCTTTGATGTTTTCGAGATCTTACTACTTTCATTCTTACTTCAAATACTTCTTGTATGGCTTTTCGAAAACAATGGAAATTGTAGTCTATTAATCCTACAGAGACAGAAATATTTTTCATATTAGTAAAAACATTTATACAAATTAGGTCATGAAAAAATTGCTTATGTTCTACATTTAATGAAGTAACACACTGAAGGTCATAATCAGTGAGTTTTACAGGCATTTTTTTCTGTGGTAAGCAAAAGCATGTTTGATAAATATACATGATCTAGTGAGCATTACAGTTCCATACTGTCTGATATTAAATATACTTACTAGCCTTAGGAAAAAACAAACAGAAGTTCACTGGCAGATAATGAAGTTTAACTTAATAAGGACCTTTGAAGAAGTGCTCAGTACACAAGAAAAAAAATTAAATCTTTCATAGAATATGATGTCATTTTGTAAATTTGCCTTCCAGAATAACTGATAAAAATAAGTAACATCTAATAATCAGGATTTTCATTTTTGAGAATGGATACTTGATAGAAATATTACCAAATAACAGCCAGCTATACTTCATCTTACACTGTAATTAAAAAATAACAGGCATGCTGTTAAGATTACATATATACATAACAAGCAGGTAACGTTACCATGTGAATGGGCTTAATGTGATCCCACAGAAAAGCTGTAAAGCCATACTGGTAGTCACTCGGAAGACTTACTGGGTGTTACAATTGTCTAATACTGCACTACAATTTTAGAAGTTTGGTATTGAGCTTATGACCTCCTTCAAAGTTAATGTTAAAGCTTTCTAAACTCAAATATTACTGCATTTTTCATTTCAATTTCCCTACCAGGAGATGATACATATTTTAAGTGGTTTAATTCCACCATGTTACACTTTATTTTTTTCCAGGACTTATTTTCCCTCTCCCCAGAGTTCAGCAAAATATTAAGTGGAATATCATCTGACATGAAAAGCTAATCTGTATTACAATACGCAAACTGTACTGGTAAAGAATACAGGCTACAGCAGGTAGCATGTAGACTATGTAGACACAACAACCTGGTACAGTTGTGGACAAACCCTAATGGGTGTTTATTCAACATGATGTCTTTTCTGAAATAGTGTTGTTAGTAGGCATGTTGAAGTAACACTTCTGACTCTTACAGCAGAAAAAGAAAGTGACTGCATCTAGCATTCATAGATAAAAAAGGCACTATGGGTATGAAAGAGAAATTCAACCAGTTGAAGTTCTATAAAATAAAAGCTAAATAGCCTGTCACACAGCCAGCAGCCATGGTACGAGTACTGCATTTACACACCAATGCTTACTGGTGAATTAATATCACAAGATGGGGACACAGCCCAGATGATCACTCACTCTTCCATTGCCCAGTTCTGATCTCAGGGCATGACTCTAAGACCAGTAACTCAGAGCAAGCAGAACGATCACAAACTAAGCTTTCAGTATTGACCTTGGCCGGGGTCAGAGACATAATCAAGAAATTTTATGCACTTCAACACAAAATATGAAAGCCACCTAGGTACCAAATATCAAAAGCCTCTTTTCAGAGATGAGAAAAGCAAGAACATATTTCTTTCTATCAGGGAGTTTGAATAATTTCCCCTTGGTTATGGCACACAAGCTGTCCCAAATGGGTCTGCTGGTGCCCACAGATACAAATCAACATTAGCCAAGAAAAACTGACACATTCTGCTGTTGCAGATGCAAGCGTTACTGCACTGGATGTAAACTTTCATATGCTTTCATACCAGAAAGTTGTTAAATACATTTATGATTTCATCTTATCTTAATGCCAGCAGAAATACTTCATGCCTTTCAACATGTTATGTAAGCTCTAATAAACTACACTTACCTTTAATATTTGGGATAAAGCTAGAGTCTGTTATCAGCTAATGGCAACCATAGTTATTCATTAACTCACTAGTATAAAGAAAAAGTAAAGCAATACTACAAAAGGGAAAAATACCTTTTCTCTCAAAGCTTTCTTCTCTGACAAAACAAACAAGAGCAAGGAATTTTGTCACCTCTTTTAAATAAAGGACAGTTGTATTGTTCAGTTTTATGATTGCCATTGATTCCTTGTCATAAGGAGTTCCAGTGCCATCATCTTTAAGCCTAAAGGACAATATTCAGACAAATAAACAAGAAAAGATAAGCCACCAGATGAGCTAACAGAAATACTCCCACACTGACTCCTTCATCAGATAATCTCAAATTTTATGAAATTTTCATTTTAACCTTTCAGGGAGACTCTTCTTCAAACTACACACAATGCCAACTAAGAAGACATAAAGGTTAAATCATTTACCCTATCACACACCAAATCTTAGATTTGAGGCTAGAAATCAGATTGTTTGATTGCCAGGTGCCTGGACTGGAGCCTTATTTTACCCTCTGTTAGTTAGCAGACATTTACTGCAAGGTTCTCTTATCGCTGTGCTATATTATGACTTTATCTAAAACCTGTGAACCACTAAGTCTGTATTGGTAATTCCAAATCCAGTAACCTTGCCTGAGCAGTGGCAGCTGACTGAAGTTTTAAGCCATCATGAGACTTTCATCATGAGATGCTGGCTTTTGCAATATCACATCCTGAAAAGAGATTTCTCCCTAACAGATGATGTGTCATGATGATAATTTTATTAGTTTTGTACCTTGTAATTTTACTCTCATTCCTGAATACACATACAGATCTTATCAAATGGGTTATCTCCAACCTCCCAGAACAACTAGTATCTATAATATATTAATGTAGCAAGTTCCACAGATGCTCCAGGAACAGAGGACAAGAAATAAATTGTAGTACCATGTTGTTAGACTATAGCTAAAAACACGGCAAGGAGATTTCTGGTGATAAATGCTAAATAGTTACACAAAGACAGTGGCAAGGTGACAATTTGTTCTTGTGCAGTCACTATAGTGACTCAAGGATCTGAACACCGTAGAATGTATAAACTTAAGAGAAAGGTATTTAACAATTTACTGTTAAGTTCTAATGCTTACTGCACTAGGATTCTTTTTTGTACTCTCCAAGAGGGCAAGAAGTCCCTCAGTGGGTAAGAATGCAAGACTACCAAAGTCTAGCTCATTTTAAGCATGCTGCTGTTTAGCCTCCAAGTCTAATGCATCTTAATGCACTAAATCTTGTCCCTGCCTTTCCCAGGAATAGCTCACATCACATTTGGCCCAGAGCCAAGTCATTTAAAACGTAACTTGCAAGGAGATGTACATGCTACCCCAGGAGATTTCCAATTGCTAATGTATAAGAAAGGGAAAATGAAATATAAAAAAAAGATAAATATAAAAAAATCAAACCACAACCGTCATGCAGGGAAAAGAGGACAAACTGAAGGAAGAGCGAAGCAGCATTCTGAGGCCAGCAGAGGCCACTACCTATCAAAATAAACAAAATTAAATGTGGCCCCACTTTTTTTTTTTAAATGGAAGGCATCCTTCTGTTGCCTTTGTCCCTGGGGAATAAAAAGATAACGTTTCCTTTTTTTTTGAGTGGATTACTTCCCACTCCTTCCTCCAAATAAAAATGTCACCATAAAAAGAGGATAATGTTCACAAAAGAGGCTGGGTAGGGGAAAAGTGCTTGTTGCTGGCAAGGGATCTATTCCTCTGAGGCCTGCTGCTTCATCCCTCTCTTCTATCCTGACAAATTAAGTCTGGCAAATTACACATTCTCATTATTGTTTATACCCACATCACTCTAATTTTGAGGCCATTAAAATTCTAGGTACAGAGTTTTATGAAAAGCATTAGCGATTCACTTACCCATATATGCAAGAAATGTCAATCACAACATCTATCATATCACAGCAGAGCTCGTAAGTTTGCATATCCACTGGAGTACTGTCCGTTGCAATATAGATCTTACTGACTACATCAAATAAAAATGCTTTTTCAATCCCAGAATTCTATTTAAGAGAAGAAGAAAGAAAAATAAAATAGAACCATGTTTTCAAATTAATACCAAGCTTATTGGCTCCCCTACTTGCCTGTTACACAAAAGCTATGCTGAAGAAATGGAAGTTAAACTGCAATCAAGCTCATTTTGAAAGAACTGTACATACAGCACTGTCATTTGTAGCAAACCTTGATGCTCATAGACCTTCCAACAGTTTCTGCCTCTGAGCAGACCTAACACCAAGTTACACTCCTAAACTTCCCCTCTCTGGAAAACATCTGGAGAGATTACATTTATTTTCAGTGGAAAATGCAGGGGGGGATGTAAACCTTTCAAGATCAGGCTTTGAGGGGCTTTTGATTGTAGCAATGGACATAAAAGAGAGCTGTTGTTTAAATGTATTCTAGGTGGACATGCAAGCAGGTAGAAAGAAGAAAAGAGGCTGATTGACAAAGAAGACAGTAAGGTTTGAGAACTAATTCCTCAAGGAAATTGAGAAATTGTCTCATCAGGTTCTGTGGCTGGTTTACTGTCTGACTCCTTAAAACCTCTTTTAGAATCACAGGAGCAAGCCTAGTATTTTGATGATGCTCTTGCAGTTTTCATGTAGCATTGGTGGTTAAGGCCATGTTTGTAATGCTAAAGCTTGCTAATGTGATGACAGCTACGTTCCTGTCATCTTGCCAAGCTGATTAAGACTCTCTCCATACTGGAGATGTATCATATTCGCAGCTCTCAGATGCCAGCCAGGAATGCTAGCTCATGCTCTTTGCATAGATATTGTGAGATGCCATGAGCCTCTGCTTCCTGGGGGGTGGGGTTGAAAAAAAGGAAAAAATGCGTATTGCTTAACTAGGAACAGTAGACTTGCCTGCTGGTATCAAGGGATCGCACCTGGGCACCTGTCCCAGCATGAACACAAAGGGCAATTTCCCAGTACCACTAAAGCACAGCTAAAACATGCTTCAGAATCCATCTACACAGGAAGAAAAGCAACTTTCTCCCATCAAACCAAATTTTCTCCATATATGGGCTTCCCTTTTTAATATGGTTTGGACTGCTGCCACAGCTACCAAGAAACACACTGCAAACCCCTAACACGTTTTAATGGCTTCAGCTTCCTTTGTAGTTATAGAACTTTGCCTTTTTTCTTCTTTCTTTTCTAAGTCAAGTATTTAACACACAGTTAAGAGACTAGAGTGACCCTCTCACTTTCCAAATTTCCTGAAATAGGTATGCTATTCAACAATGATTGAACAACATTGTTGAATAGCACAACATTCAACAACGCTATTCAACTAGGTACGCTATTCAACAATGGCCAGCAGTATTTGGGGCATTTTCTTCTTAAAGAGGCTGAATTTTTCCACCATTGCACATACAGCTAAGGCTGGAAACATCCATCAATAACAACAGATTATAGAGGTGGATTTCTTGCATTTCATTATGGAAGACTCCTTGAGTGGCTCATTTCAGCAACTCATTAGCAAAAATAATATTCAAAATAATGTATACATTGTGGATATCTCAGTACATGGGCTGAAGCACATGATATACACTGAGAGTCTCAAAGAACTGGCTTTTTTCGGCCTGGAGAAGGCTCACTGTTATCTACAAATACCTAATATAAGGGTGCTCAGAAGATAAAGCCAAATTCTTCTCAGAGCTACAGTGTTGAACGACAGGAAGCAAAAGCACAAGCTGGAATTCTGACTTGATAGAAGAAAAAAACCCAGTAGCATTAGAGTGGTGAAGCACTGGGAGCACACTGACTTGAGAGTTTATAGCTTCCACCCTTGGAGATACACAAAGCTAAACTGAACCCAGCCATGAGCAACCTGCTCCAGCTTGCCTCCTGTAAAAGTCGTCCCTGCAGCCTACATGGTTCTGTGAGTCCGTGTTTTCTGAGCACTAAGAACAAAAATGCATGTATATTTTGGTTATTCTGGCTATATGCAATAGTTTTTAAATAGTAATTCTGACAACACCTCACATACTTCAGAAGCTGCTGTCAAATAAGATTAAGCCAAGATTCACCTGTAAATGTAAGTATATAGCCATAATTCATTGCCAAAATACATATTTGAAAATACAAATCCTTTTAGACAAAATAAGTTGGAACTCAAGCCCTCTACTGTCATTCGTGAGGACTCAATTATAAAATTGCGTATGATAGAAAGATGATGATCATTTCAGCTGTACAGGTAAGATGTAAATTATTATGACACAAGTGACAATATAGTAACATTTAAGAATGAGAAGTGATTTTTCTATCTTGGAGCTCAAGCTGCTACAGCCTGTCTGTATTTGCAGTGACAGTTTAAAAAGTTTTCATCTTAAGATGCTATGCCTGCTGGAAAGGGCAGACCTTGGTGTGTTAAACTATGCTAATTTTCAATTGAAACTAATACATCATGGTAGGACAGGTTGAGAAACTTACTTCTGTTGAACTCTGTATGGTGACAGAAACCTCTGTGAAAGGGTAGGATAGACTACCAGGAATAGTAACCACTAAATTGTACCAACATGACTTCAAAGATTCAGTTTGCTGGAGTTTTACTACAACTTTAACTGAAAAAGCAAAGGATTTGGCAGAAATGCTTGTGAGGAAATTGCTCGAGGGGAAACAATACCAGTACAAATGGGTCATAAAAAAAACAGGAAACAGTGGACAAAACATACTCTTCAAAGAAATATTACCGCATTAATGCTCAGTCAGGGAAAATGACAGTAAGAAATCAGCTGTTTGTTACTAGAGCGGGTGCGTTCCTTATTAGAGAAACAAAGGCCAACAGCTGCCCTATGCAATTGAATTAAATGCTGCCACTGATCTCAATGAGAGCAGGGTCAGACTAAGCACTAGTTACCTCTGACACAACCCTACAGCTTGGAAAGAAGATGGACCATAAACTAGAAGCTCTATCAAGCACTCTGAAGAGATGTAAGAATACTCTATGGCTTATCTGAACCAAGACAGTCATTGTGAAAGATGTGCAGTGAATAGGTGGGATTTTATTTTGGATAGGTAAAAACCATGACGTAGCTCAAATTCAAACCACAGTTCTCAGCTATTATCGGTGTGGTAAAGTAGACAGTTTCTATTCTTTAAATTCCTGGTTTAGGTAAATGGGCCTTTTTCCTTCTTGAAAGCATGAAAAGTAAGCCAAAATTTTGCCCTAAAAAGTAATTTTTAGAAGACTTTACAGAACATCACCAGTTACAGTTAGGAATGAAATTTGGACAGTAATTTTAACAGGTCTTACAGCAAACAGCAGACTTCATGAATTAATTTTAAATTCTACATTTGAGTTTACATATTATTAAATTTAAATAAACAAATCTTGACTTAATTTTATTGCTACCATGATAACTCATTGTTTGTTTTTAATACATACTTTTTAACATTCCTCCAAGAAAAAAAAACCACCAATAACCCTAAAATCAAAATCCACATTCCTGTTTCACACAGCTTGATTGAGTGGTGACAGTAGTGGCGAAGAACAGACACCCTTCTATATGAAGTGATAAGAGTGTTAGTCAGGTGAGATTTACATGGGGTTTGAATGCCAGATCAACTACTATTTTATGATTTACAAGTAGTTACATTCAAGAATGTAGAAGCAGTATTATCACACTTATGGTTCCTCAAATGTATAAGCGAACAAACTGTGGCACTACAGACTTAGGCAAAAACCTGCTGTGAACTTAAGAGTAATCACAATTCTATTTCTGTAGCCATCAGCTTTTTGTGTTGCAAGCCTCCATGGCATAAATGAAAGCGTATCTCATGAACATTGCTGCAAAACCCAAACTAGAACACCAATACAAGCACACCAGCTTTCTGAGGTATAGCATGACCAATGTGAAGATTTATTGTCACAAAGTTGCTAAAGTAAAGAGGCTCCCACTAATTCTGGAGAGTGTTGTTTACTCTTCCTGTGGTGGCAAATATTAATTCTAAGTCTCTTGTCTATAGATAGAAGATACTTGTAAAAACAGACAACAAGACATAGTAATGCAGCTATACCTTGCTCAAGGTCATTAACAAACTGGACTTAGCTCTCTTTGGAGATAAAAAGCAGCCTGAGATTCTCCCATACTGAATAGTGCAAACAGTGTACCTCTCTCACTTATTTGGACTTCTCATTCATTTGAAAGGCTTGCTCTTCCTCACAAATTACATCTGTTCCAGAAACACAAACAACTGTTGTCAGTCATTCAAGAAGCAGGCTGTGTTTGATTCATCTTGTGGTTTGGAACAAATTCTTTGCCAACTCCGAACACTGAAGAGACCCCATGTAGAGATCTGACAAGCAGTATGAGTGAATGGAGTGACTGTCACAAGGAGGACTACCATTCAGACAGCTTTCTCTTTAAGACTGTGTAGCATATTCAGTATCAAATTGCTGCAGAACTGTTGTCATCACTCTTTTCATTACCTTACTGTCCTAAGTCTGAGACTTAATAACTGCTACACAGTCCAGCCATCTTGGTACAAACAGATTTTTGTAACAATTATGAAATAATTTGTAACATTATAAAATAGCTAATCTGTTCCTCAATAGTAAAAGAGTAAGTTTTGGACAGACTTTCCTCTAATCCTAGCTCTCCCTTTCAGCAACACATCCAACTTTTTTCTCTCTCCGCTTTCACAGCCCATGCTGAGAAACTGTGAAATCTAATTTTATCTTACAAGCTGTTGAATAATATTAAGTAAGTTCATTACATCAAAATCACAAAAAGGCACAACAAAATGCCATGGTTGGAAATTGGAGCTTGAGAAATTAATGCTCGATGAAAGGTGCAAAATTAGAATACTGCGAGAAAGCATACAGTTTCAGAAGCTGCTATGACCTGACTTAAGGACCACCAAAACAGAGTTCCCCCTTTTCACAACCTACTGTGCTCCCTTTTGCTCATGACCACATGTTCCCAACTCTTATCTTGTGCCAAAACAAGAGCATGTCTGACTCCTCCATGACCTGCTTTTAATTGAACAGTGCACTAGTGTGCATCACAGTGACTCCACAAGGGATATGGCGACTGTCAGTACCAGTACGAAGGACAGGAAGGGATCACACATACAGGAACAGTGGAGCAAGCAATTTACCTCCACAGTGATAACAAGCCACTAGGCATACAAAGTTTCCTTAACTGGCCTTCAGAGTAACTACAGAAGCAGTGAAAATTGTGAAGAACTCTACCTCTAAAAATGTCAAGACAAGGGAAGAGGTAAACTTTGATACAAAGTAGAATTAATTCTAGGAAGCACTACAGACAGCTCTACATAGGAGGTCAGACTAGATAATGTTAGATAATGCTCCTTTAGGAATTTATTTATCCAAATTTTAAGTATTACTTAAATGCATGCAGCAAGGACCTTTGCAACATTCAGATTAATGTATGAGCCGAAAAGTTACGACTACTAACTCACTCTATATGATTCGAAATACTGTATCTCAGCAGCTCAGCAATGCTGTTTATCAGGCAGAGGGAAGGCTAAGCTGCATTTCAACTAAGTTCTGATAATTCCTCTGAGAGTTCACATTGCTCATTATCTCTGAGAAGGCAGTGAACAGAGTATCATGCATGTTGGACATAGCCGGATCTACAGACAAAGTATATAACAAGTACTTACTGAAATAAAGATGTTAAGCAGGTTTTCCAGTGTTGGGAGCTGTGGAATCAGTTTCTGTACCACTTTGCTAAATGCTTCAAATATAGAATGATCATATATGCTTGTCAGATAAAAGCTGGAAAAAAACGTCACCACATTTTCCTTTTAGCCACATACTGTGAACATGTACCTTTCATAATATGAGTGAAATGAAATACTGTCAAACAGCAAGTGCCTACACTTCTGCAATCACCTCTTGTGATCAAAAAATCATGTTACGATGGAAGCATAGAACTTCACCACTGTTTTAAGAAAAAAAACAAACTAGACACTGCAAACTAGACCCCCTTGATGTAGAACATCATGATGCAACTCCCACCTTGGTTTTCTTATGAAAATACTTTTTGAATTGCATGAGAGGAATATTATAAGTATGTATGGTTTAATCTAATTCTTAAAAGCTGTGGACCCATTTATCAGTGCAATGATGCAGTCAAGTAGTTAAGAGCAGGAAAAAGCTAGCATGTTCACAGAGCAAGTCTCTCTTTTTAATATATTTGTACTTGGCTTTAAGTGCTAAGAAAGCCAGGACAATTTGATGTCCTCTAGTTCCACTAATCCACTAATTTTTCATTATTTGCTACAATACTCTGGTTTATCAGCAGACTTAAGGCAAAGATGCAGCACTCGTCTTCCCAAATAGCTCCAAGCAGGCTGCAGTAGTAAGGACTTGAGACTGGGAGGGGACTGTGAGGCACAGAGGTTTCAAAGGCGGCAAAAGTGATGTAGGTGACGTATACACTCTACTGGCTGGAGTTCTACTGCTTGCTACCACTGTCCAAGCAACTTATTCCAAGACAGCAGCTGCAGCAAAATGGGTAGGACTCTGGCATATTTGTCATCTGGTTTTAAGCACATCTCCTCTCCATCTTTCTCTCCAAGACAGCAATCAGAAATAAGATAATTTGTTTGGTTCAGGTCAAATGCAGTGTCCCCAATTATCCTTTTCTTTCACATATCAAAAGCTTGCAGCCAGGTACTTTAAGAGAACAGAAAATGGTAACTTGTCAAATAAGCTGCTTTCTCTTGGGATTCTCTGCACAGCAGGCTTTCTCACCTGAGGTGAATCTTCTCCAATCCAGCATCTGCAAGGTCATCATTTGCCCTTTGGTGGATATCTCTTTGTGTTTCAATCTTGTGATCATCAGATAAACCATCCACTTTATGGATAAAGATTTCAAAATTGATATCTGGATTCACTTTATAGGCTCTGGTAACAGTAAGATGCAGCCGAGCTAATGCTTCCATATAATCATCCTAATGAAGAAAAAAGAAAAGCTACAACTGTAGGAAAGTTCTTAAAATATATATGTAAAATTTTACAATACTTAATTTTAGATAATGCTACAGTTCAACAACAGCTTAATTTGTTTATTTCTTGTAAGCAGAAGCCTGAGCCTACATCCAGCATGTGCACCAATCTCATGCTGTCAGCAATCAGATATATAAGCAAGAACCTGGAGATGTTAAAGCAAATTAGTTAACTTTTGAACATACTGTAGAGAGATTAAAAATACCCAAGCAGCTCTCCTGGTTTTAGTGACTTTCTTTCAATGTGTGTCTGTGATATAGGTTATTTATTTGTTTGGAAAAAAATCTAGGTTTTCCAACCCATTTGCCTACTGCTGAAAGAAGAAAACGAAAAGGTAGCTTAAAGCCCCTTTTTTACCTGAGAATCAATAACAAATATCAGTGCTCCAGTGCCTCTGAAAATCATCTCATAGTCAAACGTAGGGTCAAAGAAGTCAATTTGCCCAGGAAAATCCCATATCTGAAAGTTGACAAAGGAGCTGTTGGAAACATCCTCTCTGCAGATCTTGTTTGTGCTCTCCAAGAAGAGAGTCTCATTCGGCGACATTTTGTGAAAGACAACTTTCTGAATGGAAGACTTCCCACTTCTTCTCAATCCCATGAGGAGGATTCTCGGCTTAACTTCAGTACTGAAGGGATCATTGAAATCCAAAACTGAATAAAATCACACAAGAAGAAAAGTAATATACTATGGCAATATAATTAGCAACTGCCAGATAAAATGCATTTGACATTTATTTTTATGATATTTTGACTTGGATGTATGCAAATGTTACCTTTTTTAAGCTTATGGAGAGGTTCTAGGGGCATTTTAATTTGAATGATTTGCCCCTTTAGGTTATAGTATCAGAAAACCTACTTCTCACTTATCAGACAGAGACTGGAGAAGGCCTGTTTGCTCAGTTTGTATGTGAAAAATGTGTTATCACACACAGACATCCTAAAATACCCAGTTTTACTCTAATTAACAGTACCCCATATACATTCTTCTTTAAAAGAATATCATCGGTAACAAATACCCTTGTCAACTGACAGCTAAATCAGGCTGCTGGAAGAAACAAATGTTTGTGTTAGTTACATCTGTGTCATCTTCCTAACCCTCTGTGAGGGCCTCCTTCCTCTTAAATACATAAATAAAGTAAATAAATAAACAAATAAAACCCCACATCCCAGGAGTCATAGGAAGAGGACAACTTAACAGGCACGCAGTTCCTCTCTGTTGAGACAACACAGTACTGAGCTCACAAGGAGTGGTTAGGATTTCACCTGCTGTTGAATAATTTATGTTATGATCTGTAAAAGTTTGTTTTCTAATAAATAAGATGACAGCATATCCTCTGTCTATTTGCAAAACAAAGGCCTGGGAACACAGTGACATCATTGTGTTACCTATGCCAGTTTGAAACTGATAGCACTAAACCAGAGCATAGTGCCATCATAGTGCCGATGAAGTTATATTAGCATAAAGGTAGTTAAAGGAGTGAACTATACTGTTGTATCTGTATAAGGATGTGAATGTATCTGCGCCTGTAAGCACACCAACTTCAGTTTCAGGTATCTCTAATAAAAACAGCTGCAGCAGTCTAAATTGCTGCATTTAGCTGGCATGTAACTTTGAAATATCCTTTGGTGCTGAGCTGGAAACAGCACTGCACACAGATGTAAGAAGTTTTCAGACGCCTCTGTGATACCCTATGTGTGGTGTCAAAGCCAAGGAATGCAAAAAACATGAGTTGTCCATCTGCAGAGTAGGGCTCACAGCACTCACCGGTCAGGTTTAAAATACTAATTAGACAAGAGGCTAAGCACACTAGCTGTCAGGCAGACCTCCCACCCACTGCAGTACAGACTTTTCAACATAATTGCACTTCTTTCTTTTTCTTCTGGGATAAATGTTGAATTAGGCAAAACCAACACACATTAGTTCACATGCATCCTTCTTGCACATGCCCTGCATATGTTAAGTGATCAACTTTACACCAAAAGTACAGCCAAACCAAGAAACCTCAGAAACAACAATTTGAACAGCAATTTATTACATAGACTTATGGGCTAAAAAAAGTGGAAAGCTTGAAGGAATCCTTTAGGAGCATGTTTTGCACCTAGGGGTGGTGATCACATCTGTCTTCTTGTGTTCCTCAAGCCTCACTCGCCACTTTTACAAACACAAAGAGCAGCACATACCTGACAGAAGGGCAGACAACCGTGTTACTCTGCGTCTCCTGAGCTTCAGCTGGAGAGTTAGGGCTTCTCAACTAAAGGCCTTGCAGTGTTAGCATAAAACATCCCCTGGCACCATCTACTGGCTCCTGGGTGGTTATGCCACTCAGTGTGGGCCTATGTCACCACAGTGACTTGACAGGAGTTAAAAACTCACTATCAGTGGGATCCTATCCATGTTAAATACATTTGAAAGGCCTTGACAGGTATTAGCACTTACTGTGCTATTGTCAATTACCCCACAGAAAACACTGCCAGGGTGGAACAGTGTGCAGATGAAACTCCTTCAATAGAACAGCAATAGGTTTTCTACTATTCATAAGAATCTCATTGTCCTTACACAGCCATGGCCAACTTTTGCTGATCCACAGACAACAAATTTTGTAATAAACAGCTGCTCTACTGTTCCTGTCAACCTCAACAGTGATAGTACCCTCCTGTGGCTGCAAGAAATGTGTCTACAATACTTCACACCTACAGAGGAATAGTAAACATCTGCTCTAGGCTGACATAACAATATTTTATGTTTGGTGGGTACAGTCTTGTCAATAAAGCAAACCAAAGGTAAAGGACTTAACAGTGTTTCCTCCACCCCACTCTCTTCTTCAATGCACAATTTTTCCACAGCTGCCAAATGCAGAGTCAATTTCATTAATGTACATCTACCCATACATCATGCAATTCGCATTTTGGCCATCAGAAGGAAAGTAATTTATTCAAAGCTGTATAATAACTTTATAAAGGCATGTGAAGACCAGTCTTCTGGTTGAACCTTTACTGCATGTTTCAAAAAGCTGAAAAACCTCCCTTTTGCTTTGTACACAAGACATCTTGTGAAGTCTAATTTGCTGGAGGTTTGCACTTTTTGTCCCCTTCCTCTCCCCACCACAATAACACCAACTTCCCCCTGTATGTCTTACAACATATCCTCCAAATAACAGATATGCCATGCTGTGGCTGATCTGGAGCTCAACACATAGTGGTTGGTTAGAATGTACATACATGCCCACCAGTTTGCCAGCTGCTGCCACAGAGAATCTGCTCGCCTGTCCCTCTGCGAACACTTCCATTTGGGTTTCTCTTCTGAATTCCAGTTTTCAGAAAATTTGAGGGAACTTAACCATCTTTGAGACATCTTTCATTCAAATTTTGGTAGATAGCAGTTTTCAAAGCTCTGACCAGTAATGAGATGACTTCAAGACAGACTACCTACATAACTCCCTTTTCTTTAAAAAATAGGCTAAAACCACACATGTATCTAAAAATACATTTTAAATAACTTGGTCTTTTAACATTGTTGTTGTGTTAAACTATTGCAGGCTGTTAGATCTTTATGGACTGTAGTATTTACTAGAAGGAAAATGCTTTATATTAAAGCAATACTAAAAAAACCCCAACAGTTGCAAGTGCAAACAAAACAGAGTTACTGATGAGAATGAATACCAGCTCTTCTGCTAGTAAGACTGTTATTTAGGTTCTGAAATCCTGCCAGTTCAAAGTAAGGGAAATGTAAATGAGTATCATCCAAACCTGACTAGATAGCAAGACTGCTATAGCAGTTTCCTCTGAGAGAGAGTTAAGAGATTACCTTATATGTAAAGGACTTGGACGATGCACTGCCTGCCCACATTCCTTTGCAGAGTACATGACAACTCCTCCTTTAATTTGCCACAAAAATGCCAGTAGATGGATCACTGCAACTTCCCAGACTAGGTTACTAAGTGAGATCATAATATGCTTAAGAGAAACATTAAACTCTCCTCTATTCTCTATATGGGAAAAATAATTTTCCCTGTTGTGCGATTAAACGCATTTCCTGCTTCATTCACTTTTGCAGAGTAAATGTTATAAAATGCCAGTTTCTAAGGCGTTATCAACAGCCCTTCCTATTTTAAATTTTCTCAGCAGCCTTACTTGAAACTGATGAAGAACTGCAGAATTCTAAAGAACAGAAGTCATGCTGGTTAGAGGCTGCATCCTGAACTCTTCATTAGGGACCATAGTGGTAGGACAAGGGGTAATTGGTTCAAACTTAAACAGCAGAAGTTTAGGTTAGATATAAGGAAGAAGTTCTTTACTGTAAGGGTGGTGAGGCACAGGAATGGGTTGCCCAAGGAATTGTTGTGAATGCTCCACCCCTGGCAGTGTTCAAGGCCAGCTTGGATGGAGTCTTGGGTGAAATGGTTTATTGTGAGGTCTCCCTGCCCATGACAGGGGGGCTGGAACTAGATAATCTTAAGCTCCTTTCCAATCCTAACTATTCTATGAAGTATTCACAAATTAAACTTAGCAAACCCAAAAGCACTTTCCCCACAGAGAAGCACTTGATTCCTTACAAAATGTCTGTAATCGCAGCAGTGTCCTTGCTCAGGGAGTGCCATTTGTGTGCCTTGCAACATGCAGAAGAACCCAGCTCTGAGGAGTTAACTGAGAACTGCATGTAGCAGTCCTGACCTGTCTCACCAGGAAGCACAGTACACAGTGAATATTTTAGTATCTCCTTCACACTGTTAGAGATATTAACTGATAAATAGTTTTTGATGCCCATCCTGAATTCCACATCAATTGCGATTAATTGTCAAAGCAGGTGACTTATCAGTGCTTCACAGGCATGTGTGATGGGGATGCCACAGTGGAAAGTGTATTTGTAGATATCACCAGTTTTCAAACATCCAAATAAAGCATTGCAGTTCATCTGCTCAACTGACATCAAGACAAAAGAAATTATTTTGCTCATATTACCATCTGTAAAGTAACAAGCCTCTCTAAGTCTGGTTTTAAACTAATACAGCTAATAATGTTTAGCTCTAAGTTTTTTTCCCCACTTATACAGTTATGTTATTTTTACGTTTCAACCTTTTTGTGTAAAGGAGAATTGGCAGTTCCAAACTTTCCACTCATGTATCTTTGAGCCCATTGATCACATAGCATTTCCAGTGCTACTGTTACTGTGATAATTGCGGCACTTTGGAGTGCTGTCAAGACACATACAGTGAACATGTTCAACACTAACCGATGTCCTGAGCCAAAACTGTTAACAGAAAAAGCTTATATACAACCAAGAAAGCTGTTCAGCTACTATGGATTCAAAAACATTGCAGAAATACCTGGTAGAAGGAAATTCTTGTGGTGAAAGAAAAGACTCAGAACCAGAAGACCTGGTTCCACTCTGCCACAAGTGCAGCACTCTGCAGTGATACGTCTCAAAGCTACTTCCTCAAACACTCTGCAGAGGGTTTCCCCTCCTCTGAATACTTTTTAATTGCTTATATCAAAATGTGGCTAGGCTTTATGTGAACTTAAGTGCTGTAAGGTCTGAATATGATCCTATGTGTAAAGAAAAAGAAATAATGTACAAGAGCCATGGGAAAGAGGCTGGAGACAAGAGACCAGTATAGGATAAGAGACGACCAGTATGAAGTTTTGAAATCTTCTTCATGCCTACAAGCACAATTTATGGTTTTACTTTTTAAGCCTGGCTTTTCCCTTCGCTTTGAGCAACACCATGGATTGAAGCTGTTCTCACGTTGCCCTTTCCACTGTTTCTTTGTAGCAAAGTAGAGGCTGTGGCACTGCATTTTGGACACTTAATGTACAGAATGAGGAAGAGAGATGACAAAAACTAGGAAAACACCTTGCTCTGCAGCCCACTGCTAAATACACAAAACACAGACCTAAATCCTAACACCCTCTGTTAGAGACACTCTATTGCTCTTTCTCCAGAGAATTCAGAATGAAAGCCAGGGGATCTGGACTCTTAAAATGCACCTTTGTTTTAACCCTGTATTAAAAAAAGGTCCCTGTATGGACTGTCTTTCTCCTACTATTCAGGGTGTAAATGTTTCTGTTACGTATGATAGCCTGGTGTTACTGTGAAGAAGCAAGTGAAATTTTTAGCTTAGTCTAACAAAGTTACTACTGAAAAATATCCAAATCAATTCCTCTGAGGACAGAATATGGATTAGTTCTATAAAGAAAATGCTAAGTTAGTTTAGCACAAAAGAAATAGGCTAAAAATACATTATCTTTGCATGGGAATAAAGGTAATTTTTTAGCAGCTTCAAGTAAGGCTTCAATTAGTCTCAGCTACAGCTCTTACACCCTAGCATTCCCACAGCCTTTAACCATGAAGGCTTATACTCAAAGCACTGACACCCCCCAAACTGCATTAGTCAGGGTGATAATCTCATGGCAGCTTGTAGGACCGGGCCATTAAGTAAAAGGGTTGTGCATGCTAATAAACAAAGTAGCCTTAAAACATGTGGCCTTTTATTATGCTTTTATAGAAAAGCAATTCTTTTTCACTCTGAGATACTGAAAGTTCTCTTTGTGAAATACATCTCAGAAGAATGAATTCAGGCTCTGAATGAAAGCAACAGGCTGTGAGCTGGCATTGCCTAATTTTACTGAATGAGACTGCTTTCCCTGGTGAGCCTGTCCTTCCTAGCATCACCATCCATGCTGACACAGATATGGAGCGACTAACGTGGGTCCTCATATGCACAGACAGACAGCAGACGTTTAGTGGAACCTGCCACTGTGGGGACTGACATCCACAGCTGCAGAGCAGCCCTGGACAGGGAGCTGCGTGTTGCCACTGCCGTTTATAGCCTGACACCCAACCCCACCACCTCCCTGGCATATTCAAGTCACTCATCAGGCTGTGGCCCCTAAGAACTAGTAACTCTCACCCCAGACATGGAAAACACTGAAAGGAGATTACCCGCACGCACACTGCCGGCACTCCTTTTGCTTCCTCCTCCCTTTCCCAGCCCTTCCTGCTACCTGTCAGCCCTCACCCTGCTCCTGCCTCAGAGCTCCATGCTCTCCCTGGCCCCACGGTCGCGCCCAGCGAGCATCCCGTCCCCGTCCCCGTTCTCGTCCTGTCCCCTCCCATGGTCACCAAGCAGCATCCCCGCTCAGCCCGGCCCCCTACCCCGCTCACCCCCTGCCCACCGGGGCCCGCCCTCCCTCCGGACGCCACGTCTCCCCCACAACGCTCTTCCTGGCTCACCCTCTCCGTACCCCCAATTCCACGGGAAGCCTTGCCTCCTCCCTGACCCACATCCGCAGGCAGGCCCGACCCCCGGGAGCCAAATCTCACCTCCCCCTCCCCGGCCGCTGCCCCCCTTCACCCGCATCTCCGTGCACACGGGGCCGGCCCTGCCCCACACCTCACCTCCCCCGACACCCGCACTCGTTGCCGGCAGCTGCCCCATAGCCCCTTCTGCGGCCGGGGACAGCCCCACGGCGGCCGCGGCGCCGCTCCCCGCTGCCCCCGGTGCCGGTGGGGTCGCCGCGGGTGGCACTCACATGCCTCATCGCCGCCGCTCTCCGCGTCGCCGTCCGAGAAAGACTCGGCCCCATCGGCGTAGCCCGCCAAGCCCACGATCTCCTCCTCCTCTTCCTCCTCCTCGTCCCCCTCTTCCTCCTCCTGCAGTTTCCTCGGCACCTGGCTCATGCCGGCCGCGCTACCGGCGGGGCTTCGAGGGCCCCTGTTCCTCCGGGCAAGCTCGGGGAGCGGGGGGCCCAGGTACCGCGCTGCCGCCGCTCCCCTCCCCCGCTCGGCGGAGCGCGCGGCGCAGCCTGGCGGCGGGGCGGGAACGGAGAGCAGCGGCGTGACCCGCGTCACCTGACGCGGCCGGTCAGGGGCCGCCGGGGCCTCCGCGTTCGCCCAAGGCCGGTTCTTAGGCCCAGCCCCGCCGCTGGCAGGCAGAGCCGCCGGTGCTGCGGTGCTTACAGGCGGGCTTTGGGGCCTGCCGGGCGCTGCCGCTTCCCACCGCGGGCCTAGAAGCACCCGTGAGACCGGCGCACACATAGAACGCTGGCCCTAGCGTGCGGGGGAGCGGCGGTCTGCAGCACCGAAACTGCTGCTGGTGTGTTTATTACAGGTAGCCTGCCCGCGGGGGCCTCACCCTGCACGTAGCCCAAAAGCGGCTGTGGGGGCACTCCGGCATCACCCCACACGTCCTTCTGCCTTCCGTACGTGGGAGACGGTGGGACTCTGGTCAGCTCAGCTCGCAGATCCACCGTGCCCGCTTGGCGCTGCCTGTGGTCTGCCCCCTGCTCCTTCCATCCTGACGTGTGGTCGTATAGCTAGGTTCAAAATGCTAGGGCAGGCGCTAATGGTAGGTGCTAACATACCTATCATGTGGGTGAGAGATTATTTCAGAAGTAACAATCTGGGTGAATGAGGACTAAAGAAAGCCGTGGGCATAACCCTCTGAAGGGGATGGGATTTTGAAGACCCTAACAGACTGAGGTGCACTGGACTGCCTGCCATTTCTTCCTCCAGACCTGCACCATACAGACAGACCTTCTGCCCCTCAGCCCAGCCCCTTCTCAGGAATTTCCACTGCTGCTGCTACTGCTGTTTTGCACCAGTCTAAGCACCAGAGCATGTGCATTAGTCAGTCACTGGCTGTCTTTCCGTGCTGCCCACTGTGGTGACTAGTGGATGAGTTCCTGATTCTCCAGCAACACATTTTCTTCTGATTCTGTTTCTCTCATACTACTTCTTCCTGTCCTGTCCTGTCCCCCCTCCCTGCATTCAGTGTAATGGTTGGACTTAGGTTTGGAGTCTCCACATATTTCCTGCGGGTGATCATCTTCCCACCTCTACACTGTGTGGCAGCCTTCTTATTACCAGGCTTTCCAAGGTGCACTAATGCACTTGAAGTAATGGAGGCATGCTTTTGTTCAGGAGAGGAAGAGAGAAACCCCTCTAGCATTCCACATAGTGACTGATTTACTAATACATTAATTGATTGAAATGCTTTTCTTAATTCTCAACAGCTTGGAAGTTTTGCTTTAACAGATTAGCAAAAGATTATGGGAAACATTTCAAAGTTAAATCCCTCACAAGGAATTAGGACTTCAGTTTGGAGCAGGATTGTTTTACCACTTGTGTTTTCAGCACTCTCTCTTGGGGCAGCCCTGGGGAGGGCATTCATCTGTGGAAAACTCCTGATGGAAAGAGGAGTTTCCAGGTCTGTAATGAAGGACCATCCATCTCACTCACCAGTTGACCACATCTGTGCAGAAAGGGCGTAAGTTTCAAGGCCAGCTATGCGGAGTGTGTCTTGCCTAGAAATGACTGTATTAGTTTTCTTTTATGCAGAAGCATCACCAGTGAGGGACAGAGACAGAATAATTTGGAGATATTTAAATACTAAGGGTGTAAAAGCTCAGGAATGAAAGGACTGGTTACAGTGCAGCTCTTGCCACAACAGTGATGTCAGTGACCTCCTGCTTGACTGCAGCATCAGCCTCAAAGCCACGTAAATGGTAGGCCCATTGCCAGACAGGTTTTAGAGTAGGGCTGAAGTGCTTCTGGCAAGCCCTTGGCAATATAATCTGTCACTGACTCTATCTACATAGGCTTCAGGACTTGTTCCTCCTTTGTCACTTTGCCACCAAGTTGTTGTCTGTCCCCTCTGCAACTGGCCATTTCCTTCTTTCTTTTGCATCAGGTCATGTAATTTTGAAGCCAGTTGCATGGTACCTAGCCTTCAGTCACAGACTTGTAGTAAGGGCAGGTAGACAAGGTGGTGAGTCTTTGAATATGCAACATGTACAGTACTAGATGTGGCTGGACTTCATCTGTGGGAAGCTGTGGTGCATAGACGTGACATACTTTCTCTTTCAAGCATCTAGGGAATCCCCTCATGAATTTCCTTCCCAATGGTAAAAAAATAAATCCAGAAGAATACAAAATTAGCTGTCTGGATTAAAAAAGGGAATTGTCCCACTGACATCCAGACAATCACAGGAGCCCATCTGCATCTCGGTTTGTAGGATCACGACAGCGCCTCATCCTGCTTCTATTAAAGAGGGAAAACTCACATTAAATATATTGGTGGCAGATCACTGCCAAGAAAAGTGTTTTTCTGTGATGTGTTAACATCTTGTTTCTCAGTCATAATGATCAAACATAGCCAAAGCAGTCCTGCAAAAATTTACATACCTGGAACTTATTTAACATACAGCTGAACTGTTACGCAAATACTTCGACTGCATCAGAACTTTACACCGTATCAAGTAGAATAAAATTCCCATGAAGCAGGCCTATCCTGAATGTGGAAATAAGCGAAGAAAATGATAGTCTGTGGGGAACAAAACTGTATTTTTATGTATTTTAGCAGTTACATTCCAATTTCAGTAACGACGCCAGGCTTCAGACGAGTGCTGTAGTTCTGATAAAGCTACAAAGCTTTGCGGAGATCAGAGAGGCATCGGAACACAAAATTCAGTCAGTAAATCTCTCCTGCAGAGCACTAAGGGTTTTGATGTGAATCTGCGGCATGACTATCACCACAGAATGATGAATACCATAGTAATGGTTTAGTGAAAAATGGGTAAGTAGAACCATCTGCAGAAAAACATAAAAAAGAATATATTTGTCATGTAACTAGGTGGTGTCTGTGATAGTTCAGTGTTTTGTCCATTTAGGGCATCATCCTGAGAATGCCTCTGAGCCAGAGGGAAGACCTTTAGAAGCAACTTGCACTGGATCAAAGACTGTTCTAACATTAACTTCAACCACTACTTTAATAAAGGCATTTTTATTGTTTCACTCACGCTGCTCGCACAAGCTTGTCTCTCTTGTACCACTGCCTACAGGTGGTCCATCTATTTTGCCTCCCTACCAAACGAATTGGTGCTGGTGTGTGAATTATCAACACACACATGGCTTTGGTGAAACTAAGCAGTGGGTGAGTATGCTGGTCAGCAGGCACAGCCAGCTTCCATGTCAGCCCTCTCTGACCCTCAGCCCAGGCTCCAGAGCCCGCTGCCTGCCTCCCTGCTGGAGGGAATCTGGCCTCCCTGGCACTGGGCTTGTACCCCTCCTGCTCCTACACAAACTGTTACAAGTAATAAGTAATTCAGGAGATCACCCAGCTCTCTAGGAGCCCCTGCACGGCCACAGCCCGGCCTTTCCGACCAGCAGGGCGACTCGACCCACTCGAGGCCAGGCCGGTGGTCAAGGCCAACCTCCATGCAGGTGCAGGGCAGAGTGGCCGTGTCCCCACGCCTTCCCCGTTTCCTCGGTAGGGAACGGCTGCAAAGGGTCCGAGCCGGGCCTGTCCTGTCACGGCCTCTCGCCGGAGCACAGGCGGGGCGGGCTGGCGGGGCGCTGTCCCCCCGCCCTCTCGCCGCGGCCGCCAGGTGTCGCTCTCGCAGCGAGCAAGGCTGCGGTGGGGGCGCCACCTCCGGGGCAGCCCAGCCTGGCCCTGCCCGGTCCGGCCCGGCCCAGCCCACCCCGGCGGCGGAGGCGCCGTTGGAGACGGTCGGGCTGTGCCCGGCCCCGCGCCTGACGGGGAGCGTGTGCCGCGGGGGGAGCGCCGGTGAGCGGGGCGGTGCCGCCGAGCACGCGTGGGACTCCAGGCGCGGATTCGCGCCTTCTCGCCGGGGCTGCGTGTGGCTGTGGTGGGGCGGCGAGCGCGTCGTGGCGGGCGGCGGGGGCCGCGGAGGTGGCGGGGCTGCAGGTGGGTGCGGGCCTTGCGAAACCAGCGCTAGGTGCCCAAGTAATTAAAAGTGTTTCGTTGGTACGGCCCCGGAGTACGGTCCGGGGAGGGACCCTCCGGGGAGAGACCTCCCCCCTTTCATGCACACACGAAGTCTCCGGGCTGCCGCAATGAAACAGGATTCTGTGCCGACGTAGGGGGCTAATTGCAGGTTTGGGGTATAAACGGGGAGCTTTACTGTTCTTTTTCCAACTTTGAAGGCTGCGTCTGATGAGAAATGGGCATCTGGCTCCAGGTTATCCTTCCTGTTGTTGACATCACCTGAAAACTCCACTGAAAATATTTCCACTAGTTTACGGCAAACATCAGCTCGCTCTGAAGGCTCAAAACCTTGTGAGTATAGACTGGCTGCTGGGAGAGATCTCTGGGTTTAGAAATCCATGGCTACAGTGTGTAATTGTTCTGCAGTGTTCATTTTATTGCAAGCACTAATAAAGGGCTTATCATGCTCTAGGGTGTTGTGTGCATTACAGCATAGGCTGTAGACAGTGCTTTGTTTTTCTTGGAAGGCATAACCGATATCTTTTATAATTATGTGTGAAATGGTTATTTGTGTTTCTGTTTGACATTTCTACAATAAACATGACCAAAAGGACATGTTGTTTTACATTGAATACCTTTCATTCACAGGGAAAACGCTGAGAGGGGTAGAAAGCATCATACTGGCAGGTGGATCAGTGAATCTTCCTCCCCAAATTAGTTGTTTAAATGAACTCAGAATGTCCTACCAATATTAAAGAAGAAATCTATTGGAAAGACCAACAAATCAGTCTTGTTCAAAAGTGGAAAAATGTAAGACTAAATTCTTATGCAGCATTAATTAGGAACAGTCTGGACCCTCTGAAGGACTGTTTGAGTGTATGGCTTATTCTCAGAAGAATGTTATTTAATTAACTTGCTTGCTTTCAATGTAGTATGTCCAGGTGTGCAGCTAGTTTTATAGTAACTTATTTTGGCAGGCTCAAGTTCCAAGTGTTGTGTAATCTTCATTCTCTAGATATTTGGAAAACAAAGTGTTTCTGGAGATGTATGATTATGTGTAAGATCTGCAGTTGTGTTGCAGACCGCGAGATGTGGCATGTTTCAATTAAGAACTTCATAATAATTTCTGAGCAGAAAATGTGAGTTACATCTACTGAATGTACCAAAACTCCAGCTGGCTGGTTAGATAAAGTATTAGGTACCTACCTGCCTTTAGATTTCAGTGAGATGTTAAAGATACAAATGCTTATTTGGATGTCTGGTGTGTAGATGATGTATTCCTGTTTGTGTCAATGAGGACCTGTTAGTCTGCCAGAGTGGAGGGGAATTCTGTAGCATCTCATTGCTTCTTTCCCTGTTGTTTGTTTGAAAAGAAATTGTAATAGAATTCAAAAGTGGTTTTATAATAGTACTCAGCTGGGAAAGTTTTCAGTTTCCCCTATTTCTTGATACTTACCCAGAGAGTGACATCACCCTCATGTAGGAGACTGGCTTTGAACATTAGGAATGAAATGATCATTAAATGATTGGTAAAAATGAAGTGATCAGCCTCATGATCATCCAGGTGCTTTTCTTCATGCTTTTTGCAGAGTTGTCTTCTTTTTTGAGGAACAGAAACTGTGGGAATCTGGATCCGCAAATGGGGCTTTGGTGTTTGCTGATACAATGTAGTTGCAACGCCAGGATTAGCATCTTGCCCTGTCACGGGTGGCATGTTCTGTAGTTTGGACTGTCAAACTTAGGATGTTCTTGGGCTCAACAAGATAAATAATATCTTAGTAAGTCAGGTGCTTGTACGGTACGGTAATGAGTGATTGAGCCTTGAGCTGCATTTCTCTACCTCTGACTTTGCCAGTGAGTCATTCAATGATGTAAGAAAGAAACCTTGATACCCCTTACTCTCTGAATCTGATTAATAGGACTATCAATATCTATCTGCTGGAGGCTGGGGTAACTGTGAATGTTTGCAAAGCACTTCTAGGTTCTTAAATTAATTACAGTATCTGTCAACTACGTTTTATTTATTTATTCTCATTAGTTTCAGATTTGTAATTCTTCTTTTTCTCTCAACAGTTAGGACTTTGGATGCACTTCCAGTTAACTCATAGCCATATATTTTCTTAGAGATACATCAGTGCAGCGTGTCACTAGTGGAAGTATTTTATTTAAAACCACAAATGAGGTACCGTATTTCACTGGCAAGATTGACCTACAGAGGTATTTGTCAAAGACATACATGAGTTGCAATTGCTTTGGGTAAATAACTTAAAATAAGTAATTTTAGCACATTTTGTTTATTAAGGAATGAAATACATGCCTCCTTCAAAAATGATCCAACCAAAAGTAAAAAGTGTAGAGCTGCACTTTGGCAAGACTTCAGTCCACAGCAGTATAGCAAGGGACTAATCCTTTGCTTCCTGTCCAGCTGTTTTGACCCTCAAAATCTCCAGAATAATTTCTGAGTACAATAATAGCAGAGATTCTTTCATACCGTTGCTAGCTTGTGGACCCTCTAGGAAAATCTCAGTCACTTCTGTCTTGGCTACTTCACTCCCTGTTAGCAGAAGAGTGCTTTGTTACAGTATATTCATAGCAGTTGTGAGAGAGAAAAGTGAAATCCTGAAATCTCCTGCATCTTGCAGGAGGCATAATTCAGTGACCTTTTGCTGAATTATGTGTAACGACTTCTTTCCAATTTTTTTCTCCTCCTCTTGTCTGTATTTGGTTTATCTCATGCAGCCATTTAAAAGACTATTGGGCTTGTGAAGGCAGGTGTTCAAAAGGTAGGAAGAGCCAGAGTAAACATACGTGAATTCCTGGCTTATTTGTTGCATAGCTTTCAGATGCATATGTGTCAGGATGTTTTTTGTACATTGCTTCTCTGAAGGACATGGTTGTGCATGCCACAGTGATGCTCTGTATTCAAGGTGGTGCTAGTTTGGCCATAGAAGTATTTTTATTGTTTTCTGTAAACCCCTTGAGGTCCAATTGCAGATGTACAGGTCTTGACAGTGAAGCAGGGAAAGATGCTGTTGGTGTGCAGTAGTTCAATACCAGGGCAAAGAATAAGTGATGAAATGAGTACATGATGAAACAGTGATGAAATGAGTAAGAGTCAATTTAAGACTTGTTTTAGAGAAGTGTGTGATAAGTGAAACAGTAAAGCTGCACAGGATTTTGAGGTTAACAGAAATTTAGCACATTGCTACTAATAGTTAATCTGGTGTATTGAAAGAGGGAGATGTCCTGTGAAAACAGTCATGTTGTGACAAATCCATGTTGCGTGGCCTGACCAATACTGTACAACAAGTTGAATTCTTGTGTTACCTAGTTGTGGAGGGGTTGTCTTGGTAGCCTCTGTGATGTACTTCTGATGCAATACTGAGTGCATAGCTAGCTCAAAATATGATGCAGTACCGTAGACTGCTGGCTTGTTCTTTTGCCATTTTACTTTTGATCCTTTGTTAGTGATCCACGGGCACTGTAGTGGGTTTGCCCTAATCCTGAAGAAAAATTTATTTGGTCTATGCCAAAAGAGTCCGAGCTTTTTTCTTCTTTTTTTTAATCTTAGGTTGTGATCCAAAGCATATTCTTCGTATCACGAAATCTTACCTCCTTCAAATCCTGGTTTAAAACAAGCTGCTTCTAGCAGGCTATCCTTTACTTTCCCTTTCTCTGTTGTGACTTGCTTTCTTCCCCATCTGTTTTTGTTAAGTGAGCCACTGAAGATAAAAGTTTTTGGGTGCATGACCTGGCATGGTGTTGAATGAAAGCATATCCAAATATATTTGGATTTGCTGGGAATTAATTCTGTAAGGGTGTGCATCTTCATTGTGTCTGCATTGCAGTGGGATCATTTCCTCTTCCAGTTTGAGATGCTGATTGCTTTAAGCCAGTGAGGTTATTTTCTGTTAGTTTTAACAGCATCTGCAATGTGACATCTTAGCAAGACCTGTTGCTTGTCTATTTATATTGTGCTGATATACTTCAGAGTCAAAATTCCCCAAATTGTCTCAGATGGGTTGGTCACTGAAGAGAATGCCAGCTTTATAAAATAAAAAAGCACCATGAATGTATGGTAATCATGTATTAGCTCAGTATTTGAGTAACGTTTTAATAATGATCACAGTGAATCATTTTAGGTACATTTTACTTTAATATGAGTTTGATGCCTGTGCATGTGCTATGGCTGCATGAATTGCAGCTAGTTCAGAGTCTTAGGAAGAATGTGATCTTTTCACCATATCGCTACTGTCTCAAATAATTGCACTAATATCTGCAGGGTATACCAATTGCTGAAGTCAGTTCATTGGTATATTGTAAAGCTTACATATTAGTAGTTTTCCTTATTTTTCTTTCTGTCCACTTTTGTGATTAAACTGTGTCTGGCTGAAGTCTTTTGAGAGGATTTCCATGGCAGGGGGGTTGGAACTTGATGATCTTAAGGTCCTTTCCAACCCTAACTATTCTATGATTCTGTGATTTAGGGATGTGGGGACAGGGGTTCTCTTTATTCTGGCTGTGGAATTATCTGCTTGCCATCTGCAGTCTGTCACTAACGTTGCTGTTCCCGTTTAAATCCAGATTTTGAAAGTGCAGCACTTTCTTATAATTTTGTCTTTTCCAGACTTTACAGCAGCTTCTGATTTCTTGCAAGTGTGGGGTTTTTTTTCATAGCTTTTCACAGCTTCTGTATAAAATCAGGCCATGCTTTTTCCATGTGCTCTTTTTTTCCCTCTTAAGTAGAAGTGGTATTGGGCTTAAATCTTAAGTTCTTCCTCTTTTGTAATACTGTGATACAAGTTGAGCCTTTGACTAGCCCCCAGGATCTAAAGTTTGCATGTGTGGAAGCACAAGAAGTTCAGATAGATTCCTGTAAGCAGCAAAACTGTTGTATCTGTGTGCAGTCTGTGTTCACTGTCTTTTCATTGAAGAGTGATGGATGGTGGAGTTGCAAGCAGATGTCACAGCAGATTCTGACTAGCTTGTTTTTAAATTTCAGAGTAAGAATAAGATTAAATGTTATGCTTTAACTTGTATCATGTTATCATTTTTGTATGCTGTCATATGATGCCCTACAGGTAAATAGAGTCTCTACCTCCAAAACCTGGTAGCATGAGAAAATCTCAGAGGCAAGAAGATGTAGCTGGAAATTGTTTTTCCTCCTGCCCCTGTGTCACGCTGCCTGCAATATCCGCTTCTTTCACAGGTTTGGGTTCTCTTAGACATGCTGAAATCCAGTCTCTGGACTTGTTAGGTTTGCCCCCTCTCCTCCTTCCTTGAAAAGAGATTGTGGAGGATCACATGTTCTAGCCCTTGAACAAATATAAATTTGCTTCAGCACAGGAGATGACACCCCAGTTTTAATGTGTGATCATTTCTTCCAGAGGTGTGCTAGTTTCCTCCAGGAACAGCTGTTCAGCAGGGTTGAATACATGCATTAGTGCAGCTATGGTTTAAATTTATACATACGAATGCAAGACTGGTGTGAAATAAGATGAAGTCTGAATTTAAAGTATTTTATTAATGAACAATCAGCTGCAAAGTTGGATTCTTTAGTTTCACCCTAAGGTTACACAACATTAGTTTGGAGGAGCTGGGCCTTAAGAAATCCTGACCTGGCATGCACTGCGTGAGGCCATCATCTGTTTCACTTTCTCTGATGTATTGATGGGCAAATGGAGATGCCTCTGCAGATAGATAGCTTAGCTACCAGTAGGCCTGGTAAAGGAATACCAGGAGGATGGCTGGTAAACGAGGACAGCTCCGTCAACAGAGGGAGTTGGTGTTAGCTGTTTTAGTTGCTACTAGCCTCAAAATAAGCAAAAGCAAATCTAATTTATTTACATTCTAATAAGATAAAAGAGATTTCAAAAATTTACCAAGTGATACAGATGCTTTTCATGTAGCTTGGAAAAACAGTACCTAACATAGCTGCTTCTCTGCGCAGATGTCTTCACGAATCACATTTTTCAGTCAGCTTAAAGGCAGGGAGAGGTAGACATTTCTCGCTGACTAGGACAGGTCTGTCCATCTGGAGAAATTTCTTTCAGTTCTTCTGGCATGGTGGCCAACAGCCAAGTAAGTCATCTGCATACAGGTATGATGGGCCTGGTTTGGAGGTGTAGGTCAACACTTCCATTGTCAGTCTGGCTAATTGTCACCTCTGTTAAATTGGCTGCATTTTATTTGCAGGGAAAGATGGCATATATTCTCTTTAATGCCTTTTGCTCTTTTACTGTATCCGTGTCAGTGACTCTCAAGCTGAGGAGGGTATGTGAGCAAGTAGGAAAAAGGCTGAGGAAGCCAGAGGAGAAAGGCTAGGAAAATGATAGCTTGAAAATTGCTTCCTGAGAAGAGGCATTTCTTCTCACTTGTTTTGAGCCTGAGATCTGCTGGTTTAATGTGGTGCCTTCTGATATTTCTCCAACCTGATTTCTCTCTGTTTAATTATGTCCTGCCTTTGGTTGTCTTATGATCTCTTTCCTTGTAACTTTTCTAGTTTTGCTAGACATTTTCTGAAGAGAGAGGGACAGACTTATAACTTTCAGGATGCAAGTGAACTTTTTAGACAGTTGAATAAAAGTGCTTTTGGTTGTATTCTCTGCAGTAATAATTTTTAGCACTCTCTCTGCTCTTTATGCTGATGCTTTCATAAGAACAATGCACTATAAATCTAAGATCTCATTCCTGAATCATCCAGAGCCCGTCATTATGCATATGAAGTTGAGGTGTTTTTTCCCAACACATGAGTACCAGTCTGTGTTTAAATGGTAGTTAATTCTGCCATTTTAGAGGCTGGTTATTTGATGTTGTTAAGTCCTTCCATATCTCTTTGCAGACAGCACTTGTCTTTCTCCTTAATAATTTAGTAGTATTAGTAAGTTATGTCATTTAACTGTTGTAATCTTTCCCTGCACCCCCTGTGATTCGTTAGTGGGTATGTTGAATGCAGTATATTCTTTACACAGATCATCATGGAGCTGCAGGGTTAGTGTCCTTCCACTATGAAGACTGAACGCTGTTTCGTTGTATCGTTTATTTCCTGTCTACCTTGTTCTCCATACAGATGGGGACTTTCCCTGGTTTTGTAATACTGATTTTTTATTTTATTTTTTTAAGCATCATTCATTGTTTTGAGAGAATCTTTCAGGACTGGATAAGAGTTACCATAGCTTAAAAAATAACCACATCAGCAAAGCTGTGGTAACAGGCTATGTGCAAACTCACCTCTTTCTTGTGTCCAAACCTCTTTCTTGTGTCCAAACAGTCACCATTCAACTCTAACTGGTCTACATTGTGATCAGATCCCAGCTTGCTTCATAAAATTTTAAGGTTCAGTATTCTGTTTGGGATTTAGTTTTGGTCAAATAGCACACTGGGTGAATTTGTTTCACAGGTCTCAAATACACAGTAATTTCTGCGTCTGTTTCTTTTTACTTGTCAGACTAGGTTGACTGTTTCTACATTTTAACAGTATCCAGCCATTTCTCAATGATAATTTCTCATTTTGTTTATCTGGAAGCAAGATGGGATCCAAGGTAAAAAATGAATGGCAGATTAAAAGAGTGGTATGAATTCTTGCACCAAGTAGCATGCCATACCATGATTTGAAGCAGAAATTGTAGGTATAAGCTCTGGTCCTTGGCAGAGTTTCTTAAGAAGCCCCCCCTCCCACATACAAAAATCCCCCCCAAAACTCACAACCCAAACCCCCAAAAAACCCAAAACCTAACTATTTTTAAAAATTATGCCCGGTTCCATTGCGTGCCTACAGGAGTAACTTTAGATGAGAAAAACAAGCCCCAATTTTTTTCTGACTCTTCTCAGTTCCCCCTTATCCCTGCCCACCAACACTCGTGTTTGCAAAGTTTTAAAATCAAAATTCTGGCTTCAATAGTACATTAGTCTTTCAGAGAATCTGACCTTTCACATCTCTATGCAGACATACAAATGGGGATGTTGTCAGTTCAGTTATTAGAATGATGTCAGGTTTTTCTTCTTTTTGTTTTTAATCCTCAAAGTGGAATAGTTGGCATGGAAGCGGGAAGCATATTTTATTCAAAACCTAGCATCCAGAATTTGGATGCATGTATTTCCAGCTTTTAAGAATAATTACGATTTGCAATATTGTATTACTATGAATTTGCTTAGGTATTGTATGTGGGTTTGTACATCCAGCGAGTGTCTGAATATAATTAAGTGGGATGAGCCAGTTCTGGTTAACACACAGGCAAACCGAGAAAACAGGTAGTGGTGCATTCAATAGAACCGAGCACAGCACTTGAAGAAAACAAGCAACATTGAAAAGTTTATTTGTTCTCCTCATAAGTTGAAATTAAGAAGCTCTCCTTGACAAAACTGAAACAAGTGTTGAGCGACTCATTAGGCTGTGGAGAATAGCCAGCTTTACCTCAGTGTTTCCCAGGGACAGAGTCAGTGGAATGGAGATCTTGCTCTGTCTTGCAGTCCTTTGTAGCTCTCATAAAACTCTGCCTTGGTGGAAAAAACACTAAATGCACTTTTCCGATAAGCTAAGTCAGGAAGGGTTAGCAGAGTAGAGTGATACTATGATGAAATTTCTCACCACACTATTAAATGTGTGTTCCATTAAGAAGATGGGTTTCCTGATCATTCTAGGGAGCAGTATACCATCATCCTCCCCCATATACTAAGATTTTGAAATGCATTAATGGTACAGGCAGTGTCTCAGTATGATTGTTATTTATAAATTCATATTTTAATATA